TTAAGTAAATTGATCAAACGCTTATCGATTAAAAAGAATAATAAATAAGAAAAATAATCAGCGATATAATAATAGTAATAATGAATTATACCTAAAAAAAGTTACGATAATTAATAAGAAAATAATTTAAAATAATAAATAGCCACGAAGTGCGGTTCGAGGGATATTAACAAATGGTTAAACGCGAAAAATTTGTAAAGCTTTTTTAACTAAAGTATAGGACCTACTTGACAAATATTATGTTGTTAAGGCTTAAACTTCACACTAGATACTAAGATTAAGTTATAGTGCCTTTATATTCATTGTACTTCGAATGTGGGTTAATAGCTATAATATTCTTAACCTTTTAGGCCCTAGATTGGGAGTGTTACGCATATCATATCTATAATATTCATTTTCAGAATATTGACTTTATTTATTTTTATTCTTTTCTTTTTTCATAGTTATCCACTTTTGATGGTGAGATGTAATATTATGGTCATCACGATTATAATGATAATTATATCAATCACATTCATGGTTATGACCACATTTTCGTTCATGCCTAAAATTATTATAAATTATCACATTCACTTTTGGGAATGGAGTAGATCCAATTGGACGAGATTTATTCTTTTTCATCAATAGCTTTTTATTTTATTTAGCTATGAAATGAAATTGATTTAAAATATTTCTTAAGCTCTTTTTCCGGATGTGCTACTTGCGAAGCATATTCGAGACATAAAAAGTAGATGATATTAACTCGGCATTAAGCATTCATGATCAATAATTTTTGCTCAAAATATCAAGGGCCACAAAATCAAGTATTGTGATGGTTGATATAAAAATTTTATATTGCAAAGTACAATAACAATATTATGAAATATTAATAATAGAATTTAAATAAAAATAAACATAATAATAAAATTAAAGCTTTTCAAACAACATATATTAGATCATTAGATTCTATAAATTAAATCATTTACATTTTTCAAATGTATATTCTATGTATCATTAGATTTAAAGTATATGATAAATTAAATACATACCTTTTAATGATCTAAATAATTTAGATCTTTTGGTAGAACATTTGTGTAGAAGAAATCCAATGGTTGAAACAATTGATTAAGTCTATTGGTAGATACTTACCTCATGGTCTACTTGTCTTGATTGATTAAAGCTTCGTGTCGATAACATGTTATGAAAGAAATAAAAATAATAGGAGAATTGAAGAGAAAGATTAGGGAAAAATGAATTCACTATAAAATGAAGTGAATACAAGAGATAACAACTTCAAATAACCTCTCAATCTCTATAAAATACTTTACACAAAATAATAAACAATTAAGCCTATTTATAGAAAAATGAATTCACTTTCTATAAAATAAAGTGAATACAAGAAATAAGAATTTCAAATAACCTCTCAATCTCTACAAAATACTTGTACATAAACTAATAAACAATCAAGTCTATTTATAGACTTCAAGATTAAGAAAAGAATCTGTAAGAATTATGAATCATTAAGAGATGCATAAATAATTGAATAAATTACATCATCTTTTTAATTTCTCATATTAAATAATAAATTAAATCATATAAATAATAGAGAATATAAAATAAACATTTATTATTTCATAACATAAACGAGTTAATTTGTAAGTCATTCAAAATCTTCTATTTATCTTCGGATAATAAAAATAATAATAATAAAAAAAAGTAGCAGTGCTGATTGACTTCAAGCAGAGAATAATAATTGAGTTTGAAATATTATAATAAATAAAAAAGAGTAAATTGATAGAGAAATGCGTAATAAACAAGTGGTCAGTCACCGTCCATTGGAAAACTCATAACTCTCTTGTCACTAATATTCATCGTTCCCTTTTAATTCAACTAAGTAAACTTACTATTCTTACAGAAAAAGAAACATTACATAAAAAATTGAATAACGTAATTACAGAAGCTAGAGCAATAAAATATATATATTCTTAGGGGAAAAAAACAAATAATGCTGTTATAAAAATAATAATACTCAATTATTAGTCAATATTATACAATCCACTCGAAGGAAACTCCATTATTTTTTTTATAACATAATTCGATACCAACGAACATTTTTCGCTTTATGGCATGTCGTTTGAATGTGTAGATATATAAGTCCAACGACGGTGCGTTCCAAAACTAACAAAAAATTTTCGCTTTAGACGACAATCGTGGTTATCGAGGACCCCATGAACTTGAACTGTACCAGAAAAGTGGAAGTGGCCCCATCCTTGCCTTCTGCAAGGTACCCCACGTGGAATCCTTTATCCACGGCCACGTTTTCAACTTTAAGGATTTTTTTTTAATTTCTCTTTTTTGTAATTTTCATATTTCTTTTTCGTAATCCCACTATTAGTAACTGTGAGAGGCCAAGCCAACTACCATGAGCCCTTAAATTGAAGGGGCCGATGTATTAATTGACCGCCTGTGGACAGTGGACCCCTACTCCGCACCCCCAGCATGTCTCTTGGACCCCACCTCTCTTCTCTTAACGACAAACCCCAAATTTGAAACAAATTAGAATATATTTATTACTAAAATCTATTAAAATTAAGTTTTTAAAAGAAATTAAAATAAATTAATCAAGAAAATGAATCTTTTCCTTGATAAAACGAAAACTAATTTTTTAATGATGTAAGTTAATAAAGTAAAAAGAATTATAACTTTTGAAATTTTTTTAATTAAAATTTTAAGATTATTTTTATCTTTTAAATGAAATAAATAACTTTTCATCTCAAAAGCATAACTTTTATGTTTTTTTTCCCCTAAAAAAAATTGGAAGTCAATAATATATTTTTAAGTGGAATTACCTTTCATTTCTAAAAGTTTAGCAATGGCTATTGGTTATTTTAGGAGGTAATTATAGATTTTTTTTACCCATGCTAACGTTGACATTTAACCAATTTATAATACCAAAAGAAAACGTGTGAACAATTTTTTTTGAATATTTAAACGAGTTAATTATTAAATTACTCAAAATCTTCGATTTATCCTCAGATCAATAAAAATAATAAAAAAAAAAGTAGCAGTGCTGGTTGACTTCAAGTATGCTGGATCAGTGTGTAAAGTCAAGAGTCAACCTATATTGTCTGGCTTTATCAGACAAGGATACTCTGGGTGAAATGGTGAGTCCGAGCTTCATAGGTTCATTGTTCTCTGTGGAACCGTGAACTTCATACAAGACTTTATGGAGACGTAACGTTCCACTTTTCTTTGCTTCTTCTCATGGCTTGGAATTTAAAGAGTTCACTGTAATACAAACATTGAGTCAGCGTTGCACTTTATTCTTAACTTCTTGACGAGCTTCATAGGTTCCTTGTTCTCTGTGGAACAATGAACTGTGAACTTCATACAAGACTTTATGGAGACGTAACGTTCCACTTTTCTTTTCTTCTTCTCATGGCTTGGAATTTCTGCCTTGTTAATTTGATATGAAAATTTTTGTTGCAGACTGCTTAAGCCAACTTTCATGTTAGGTAGGAATCACAAGTGATAAAGCGTTCAAGAAAGTTGCATTCAAAATTTCTGACAGGTATGATTCGAAGCTTGGGTGCTGTATGTTACAGAACTGCTTGGTTTGCTAATTTACAGGTGCCATGTATTCAATTTTCAAGAAATAAATAAAATTTTATTAAGAGATGAAGCAACTATTGCCTGGGGATTAGGATATACTAAGTCAGGTGTTTACTCCTGGTCCTTTTGTTGGGGTGGCTTACCTTGGGGATTCAAAATGAGAATAGTCGGTAGGGCAGATTTGAAAGCAAAAATTGGATTTTTCATGTAGAAACTAATTTGCAAGCAGCAGATTTGAGTAGAGTAACTCTTTTTAACGGTGACACTGATGTCCAGTTTTGATGATATACACCACTATTTGTGCCTAGCCTTGCACTCTTCACCTACATGTAATCTTGGGCTTAAATGTCTAAGATTCTATATATTGCTAGCTTGTTGAAAATAAACAGAGTTTAGATTCAAGCAAGTGTAAATGTTGTTAGATCGAGCCAATTAGATGCTACTTTCACTAGCATGTGTGAATTTCTATTTGCTTCTTGTAATGCATGTTAAGCTCCTCCGTCAGTTTTTGGGGCCTGTACATCACTAATTCCAGTCCGAGGCTTATATCTATTCAGTCCAAGCATGTTTTCTTGTCTTTGCCTTAGGATTTTTTTCTCAGATGTGCAGCTGTTATCTCGGTGGCTATGCAACTTTTAAATAGAAGCTTCAGGTTGCATGGCCTCTTTTGATGCTTTGTGCCTCCCCTAGTATCCCTGCTCGTCTATGTGAACACTAATTTTGCATTACTTGGGTGACTGTTTTCATCTACTTTTGTCACTCTCCATCTGCTGTTTTCTGGTTTCCCTGCTGCTGCCTTCTTTTCTGATGGAATGCTGTTTGTAATGTGCCTTAGAATCTTTTTTAGCGTATTTTCAGTATGCTGTAAATTGTTTTTATGGCCTGTTCCCCGTGTTTCTTTTCTTATATTTTTCCTACTTTTCTTGGATGTGCGTTTTGCACGTCTGTATCTTTCTCTTTTTCGCCTAGAGAGCTTGCTTTTTGCTTCCAGGGTGCTTATTAATGAAGTCCTATGAGTTACCGAGAGAGAGAAAAATAAATACATACTTCCAAAAATTAATCTATCTTTTAGTGAGTTTCCGCTAAGTCATTCTTAAAAAAAAAAAAAAAAAAAAAAAAAAAAACATGTTTAATTATAAAACCCCATAGGATTCTTGGAAAGGTACTCAAATCTGATTTGGAAAGAGTTCAAAATCTTAAGAACATATATATATATATATATATATATATATATATATATATATATATATATATATATTTTCTGAGTATTGCTCGAAGAATTTTTAGGTCCAAAAGCCACAATTTGTTGAATGAGATACTTCTCCCTCGCTAAGCTTGAGGTCTATTTTTTTTTATTTACTATTGATCCATCTTTCTTTCTCTGTTTTTATTTCTTCTCAATAGAATCGATGGCAAATTCTGAAGGAGATAGTGGTACAGCGTCTGCTTCTCGCTTAGGAGAAGATGATCACGTTTCGGTTGATGTTGATTCATTGACCTCTTCCTTCGAAAACATGATGTCCCAAAACTCACTAAAGTCCACTGATTGTTGCATCTTCAAAGTGCCTAACATACTCCGAAGGCACAGCGAAAAAGCCGATGTTCCCAACGGCTTTTCGATTGGTCCTTGGCACCATGACAATCCAAACTTGAAAGGTACAAAAAACATCAAAGTGAGGTATCTCAAAGCCCTTCTCACCCAAGCACCATCTGGGAAAGCGACACTGAAGGAGTTGATTAGAGCCATTAAGGAGACTGAGAAAGAAGCCCGGCAGTGCTATGCTGGACCAATTGATTTCAAGGTCACGGATTTTGTTCAAATTTTGGTACTTGATGGTTGCTTCCTCATAGAGCTGTTCCGAAGAAAATATTACTGTCGTCTTATAGAAGCTGATGATCCTATTTTCCAAGTCTCTTCCATGACACAAGACCTCCTACATGACCTGATATTGATAGAAAACCAAATACCTTGGTCGGTGCTACAACGGTTGTTTGACATGACTGTGGCACCTGGAGGCCAACCCCTTGCTTATCTTGCCCTTAATTTCTTTCTCGACTTGTTTTTATACAGGAGTTCACACCAACAAGTTTCACCTCCCCTGGGACAAAAACATTTATTGGACCACTTAAGAAACTGGTTAATTTACCATGGAGAAAAGAGAGCGGGCAGAACAGAATGGCGATTTATGCCTTCCGCCACAGATCTTGCAGATGCCGGCATCAAATTCAGGGTGAATACCGAGTCAGCAAGCATCTTGGATATAAAATTTAGAAATGGTATCCTGGAAATCCCTCGATTGTTAATCAACTGAGGCTATAATTCGAAACCTCATTAGCTATGAGCAATGTCGTCCTGGTTGCAGTCCTAGAATCACTTCATATGCAGTATTTCTAGATAGCCTCATCGACACTACCGGGGACTTGGATAAGCTAATCAAGAGTGAAATTATCGAGAGTTGGTTGAATCCAGGTGAGGTCACTCGGTTTTTCAATAAGCTTTATCATGATTCTTATTTGAGCAAGTACCACTACATGGACGTGTGTGAAGAAGTGAATAAGTATTGCCAGCACAGGTGGCCTAGATGGCGTGCCGTGCTTATGAGAAATTACTTCGGCACTCCGTGGAAAATTGCTTCTCTTTTTGTTGCTGCAGCCTTTTTGATTCTCACCATTGTGCAGACCATATTCTCCATCATTAAGAAGTAAGATCTTATTTCCTCATCGCTTGTTACATATTATGATGAGAAATTAAGATCAAAACAATTATTGGAGATGCTAGATAAATTCTCGGGCTGTATTGTGATTTCTTATCCTTCATGCATGGCTCAAAAAAGAACAGAATACTATAGAAAATTCATATCTGCAGCTATGGTTTCTCAATTACGGTGTCTTAAAATGCTAGAGTATAATTTTCTCTTCCCCTCCCCTATGTAACAGGTGATTCGAAGTGGAAGAAGCTTTTGGCCGGTCAATTTCAATTTTCAAGTACTTCTGATCAGAGTTTCCAACTGGAGCTGCTTGGTTAAGTTGAGTTAAGTGGTGTCCTGTTCTCGAGTTAAAACCGTGTGGCATTTGTTTGGTTTTTCCATTTCATGGCTTTTGTTTGAAACAGTTAGTGTTCGTTCTTTGATTTAGCTTTGTAGGCTTGTAGCTTGTTTTTGCTTCCTAGAAGCTTATCAGTCATGAATTGGGAATACTGTTAATAAAGCCTCCCTCTCCCCTCTCTCACTTTCATTTGAAAAAATAATTCTAGGATTATAATCTAAACTCTGGGTGCAAAACACAAGATTTTTAATAAAATGGATGGGAATAAGGCTGAAGAATTCCATATCTCCTTCCCCAAGAAGAAAAATGATAATACATTTCATGAATTCGCGAGACAGAAAAGGAGACGTAAAATACATACATCAAAAGAAGTGTGTTATTATTACTAACATGCATTTATCATATATTTTGGTGTAACATCACTCTACTTTAAAGGTTCACATACAGGATGTTCATTGAATAGTATTCCTCCATGCACCTCCTTGATTCCCCTCCTTCAAAGCTTCCAACACTTCCATTTACACCATTAAATAGGTTTTGATGTATCAGGGTGGGTTTCTGTTATTTTCAAGAGTATAAAAGAAAAGGCAGGAAAAACAACAAGCCGTATCTAGCAAATGGCTGCAAATCAACAAACTTCAGGAGCTAGAAAAAGACACTTTAAACTCACTACCCAGCAGACTTGGTGAGTTATATTTACTTCTACTAGCAGAGTAAACAAACACATCACCATTTAATATAATAGACCTCTTGGGCAGGAAAATATTAAATCCAAGCACCCAATGGCACTTTTCAGTTACAAAAGCATTATCACATATGAAAATTTACTCTGTAAAGAAGGTCTCCAAACTCAAATTCAAAGAGCTAAGTTCCATTTAACACCAAGGAACAAAAATAACATCAAATGATGCAAGGCACTATCCATTTGCACTGCTCAAAATCAGCTTGCGCATGACTAAATAACACAAAACATCCCATTGCTTACCAACTCCAAATCGATAATACTCGCACCAAACTTCCACAATCCATCCATTTGCATTGCAGAAAATCAGCTTGAGCATGACTAGAATAACGCAAAACATCTCATTATATAAGCATCTCCAAACCTAAAACATCCCCTACCATCGCACCAAAACTTCCATAATTTACCCATTTGCATCTCCGAAAATCAGCCTGAGCATTACTTATCAACTTCATGTCCCAATAATTACCCCATGACTTTTGTAATCTCTCAAAACGAATCACAATAAAAAAACCAGAACTGTATTGCTTAAACCAAATGTCCATATCCAAGCAATGTGGTTTCGCTACTATGTAACTCACACAAAACCCAACAAACAACCAATCACAGGCAGATTAGCTTATCAAGCTAACTCCAATTCTATTTAAACTAATAAATAGCCCTAAAGCAATTACCAAGGAAACCAAATTCATAAGCATTCAAGCAAAACAAAAACACTAGTAATAAATATCCATAGATAAAACCCATTATCTGATTAATCAAAACAGAAGCAAGAACTACATAATCCACCGTTTGATTTTTTTTATTCAAGGACTAAAAAATAAGAGACCATAATCGGAAATAGCCTATTCTTGCCTAAACCCTTCTTTTATTCAAATATTCACCTTTAGCCCTTACTTTCCAGTTTTCAGGACTAATTTTTAACTCTTAAAATTTCTACATAATTAAATTTGAAAGGTTAGACTTTTAATTTTATGCAATTGAGTCCCTAATTTTATGCAATTAGGTCCTTGCTTCAAAAATTTTATTCTATACTTTTCAAAAATTCAATTTCTTTCCAAATAAATTTATTAATGGGATTTAACCTAAATTTTCATAATTTGTTTACTTCATTTAGGCCTCCAAATTAATTATTTAGTATAAAAATTTCACTATTTCCTTTTAAAAATATTCCTTATACTTGATAAAATTAATTTAAATTTACTAGGTACTCCTAAACATCCTATATGATTTTTATATGCTCTTAAAAAAATTTCCTTATTCTTTTAGGGTACCTAATTTAATTCTTCTATCTCTAAAACATTATTCTTATACATAAAAATTCAATTAAAATATTCACAACATACAAGAAAATTCATTCAATCGCATAAAATAATTCAACACCCCTCTAACAAACATCCTAAGCAAACAAAATATTTTTCATGCATATGTAACATGCTCAAACTAATTATTTCATGTAAAAATCACTATTCATGCATTATAAAATCACTAAAATACCTATTAAGCATAACAAGACAATTTTAACTATTCTAAATATTCATTTAAGTCCTTGAGGATTATTTCACACCTTCGAAATATTTCTCATATATATTTAATATTAATTTTTTTTATTTAATTTTAGTTTTAGCAGTTACAGGTAGTTACAGGAACAGTGAATTGTGAACTTCATACAAGACTTTATGGAGACGTAACGTTCCACTTTTCTTTGCTTCTTCTCATGGCTTGGAATTTAAAGAGTTCACTGTAATACAAACATTGAGTCAGCGTTGCACTTTATTCTTAACTTCTTGACGAGCTTCATAGGTTCCTTGTTCTCTGTGGAACAATGAACTGTGAACTTCATACAAGACTTTATGGAGACGTAACGTTCCACTTTTCTTTTCTTCTTCTCATGGCTTGGAATTTCTGCCTTGTTAATTTGATATGAAAATTTTTGTTGCAGACTGCTTAAGCCAACTTTCATGTTAGGTAGGAATCACAAGTGATAAAGCGTTCAAGAAAGTTGCATTCAAAATTTCTGACAGGTATGATTCGAAGCTTGGGTGCTGTATGTTACAGAACTGGTTGGTTTGCTAATTTACAGGTGCCATGTAAATTCATTTGAAAAAAATGCAAAGCAATTTTCAGGAAATAAATAAAATTTTACTAAGACATGAAGCAAGTATTGCCTGGGCATTAGGATATAGTAAATCAGGTGTTGGAGGTAATTGTGGGGAAGGTTTCTTTTTGGTGGGATTGAGGATTTGTGTTTTTTATTTCCTTTGCGTGGATTGTGGGTTTTAGTGATATTTGTCTTCCTTTTGGGTTCGGGTGGTGATACTGCTGGATTAGATTTTTGGGTTTACTCCTGGTCCTTTTGTTGGGGTGGCTTGCCTTTGGGATTCAAAATGAGAATAGTCGGCAGGGCCGATTTAAAAGCAAAAATTGGATTTTTCATTTAGAAACTAATTTGCAAGCTGCAGATTTTGAGTAGAGTAACTCCTTCAACGGTGACACTGATGTCCAGTTTTGATGATATAGCACCACTATTTGTGCCGTGTGCCGTGAGTTTTTCAGCTATTTTTTGTTGTGTTTTTGATACCGGAAAAGGTGGGGTTAGAATTGTAAAGGAAATTATGGTTATGTGGATGGATGCAAAGATCAAAAGGGAAAATGGACTAACGAAAGATAGATTATGTACACATAATTACCACTCTAAGGAGAATGAATGAAGGATTCAAACTCATAAAATCTGAAGACACAAAAAATTCATTACCTTAGAGATTAGAGTTTGGGATAGCTCACCATAATGAACTAAAAGCAAGATTAACAAGCTCAATTTGATTTACTCAACAATTCTACTATATCATGTACTCTCGGGTTCCAACACACACACATACATATATAGATGAAACCTACAAGTGTAAGACAAAAGAAAACATTGATATGTGAAGTACTTCGAAATATCAAAGCCTAGGGTTAAAAAACTAAGTACCTAGAGTAGAAAACAAACTAGGAAAACAACAAAACCTGAAACTCTATTCTAGACACAAATTTTCAAACTAACTAACTGCATCTTAGCTGAAATGATACTCAAGGTGACAGGTTTTTAATAAAGCTGCCAGCATGTGAGTTCAAGTTTATTCTAGCCCAAAATATTGACTTTGTTGAAATGACCATTTATTGCCTAACCTTTCACTCTTCACCTGCATGTAATCTTTGGCTTAAATGTCTAAGATTCTATATATTGCTAGCTTGTTGAAAATAAACAGAGTTTAAATTCAAGCAAGTGGTAAATGTTGTTCGAGCCAATTAGATGCAACTTTCACTAGCCTGTGTGAATTTCTATTTGCTTCTTGTAATGCATGTTTAGCTCCTGCGTCAGTTTTTGGGGCCTGTACATCACTAATTCCAGTCCGAGGCTTATATCTATTCAGTCCAAGCATGTTTTCAAGTCGTTGCCTGAGGAATTTTTCTCATATGTGCAGCTGTTATCTCGGTGGCTTTGCAACTTTTAAATAGAAGCTTCATGTTGCATGGCCTCTTTTGATGCTTTGTGCCTCTCCTACTATCCCTGCTCATCTATATGAAGACTAGTTTTGCATTACTTGTGTGACCGTTTTCATCTACATTTGTCACTCTCCATCTGCTGTTTTCTGGTTTCCCTGCTGCTGCCTTCTTTTCTGATGGAATGCTGTTTGTGATGTGCTTTAAAATCTTGTTTAGCGTATTTTCAGTATGCTGTAAATCGTTTTTATAGCCTGTTCCCCGTGCTTCGTTTCTTTTCCTACTTTTCTTGGATGTGCGTTTTGCACGTCTGTATCTTTCTCTTTTTCGCCTAGAGAGCTTGCTTTTTGGTGCTTATTAATGAAGTCCTATGAGTTACCGAGAGGAAAAAAAAAAAAAACATACTTTCAAAAATTAATTCAACAATGTCTAGTTTGCAATTGATGTCTATATCTTGAAGACTTAATTTTGAGTAGGATTGACAATTTCATGTTTTCGGGTACTGAATTACCTATCCCTTGCAACTGAACCTAATAAGAAATGTTTAGAGCACTATTGATGCGGACCAACAGCCGTTGAAATTCATGGAATGATATGAGCGTGAGAGAAATTGAACAAAAAATTTCATTCCAATTTTGAGGGTCTTTTGGATTTATTTCGATGCCAAATGGGCCAACGACCAAAACTTATCGGCTTTGCCCATGACGTAAGGATGATTTTGGCTAAAATAACATCGTTTAGGCCTTCAAAATCAGCTTTTATTGTTTTTTGGGATTTTTTCTTAATATTTTTGGATTTTAGTATTTGTTTTCTTTTCAAATTGCTTAAGGGTTTTAGCTGAAAATTTACTATTTATGTATGACTTTGAGGTTGAAAAACACCACTTTTACTTAGTTAATAAACTTTTGTAAGAGAAGATCTCAGTTTCCTTAATTTTCGATATTCTTTGAATTAATGGAATTGAAGCTTATTTCCGATATTTGGTATTTGTATGCAATTCAACAAATTATAATAGATCAACGATAATTATTTTTCTTTTAGTAAGTTTCCGCTACGTTATTCTTCTAAAAAAAAAAGGCTTGTTTAATTATAAAACCCCATAGGATTCTTGGAAAGGTACTCAAATCTGATTCGGAAAGAGTTCAAAATCTTAAGAATATATATATATATATAGCTCGAAGAATCTTTAGGTCCAAAAGCCACAATTTGTTGAATGAGATACTTGTCGCTCCCTAAGCTCCAGGTCTATTTTTTTTTTTTTTTTATTTGCTATTAATCCATCTTTCTTTCTCTGTTTTTATTTCTTCTCAATAGAATCGATGGCAAATTCTGAAGGAGATAGTGGTACAACATCTGCTTCTTGCTTAGGAGAAGATGATCACGTTTCGGTTGATGTTGATTCATTGACCTCTTCCTTCGAAAACATGATGTCCCAAAACTCACTGAAGTCCACTGATTGTTGCATCTTCAAAGTGCCTAACATACTCCGAAGGCACAGCAAAAAAGCCTATGTTCCCAACGGCTTTTCGATTGGTCCTTGGCACCATAACAATCCAAACTTGAAAGGTACAAAAAACATCAAAGTGAGGTATCTCGATGACCTTCTCTCCGAAGCACCATCTGGGAAACCGATACTGAAGGAGTTGATTAGAGCCATTAAGGAGACTGAGAAAGAAGCCCGGCAGTGCTATGCTGGACCAATTGGTGTCGAAGTTACAGAATTTGTCCAAATTTTGGTACTTGATGGTTGCTTCCTCATAGAGCTGTTCCGAAAAAAATATGACTGTCGTCTTATAAAAGCTGATGATCCTATTTTCCAAGTCTCTTCCATGACACAATACCTCCTGCATGACCTGATATTGATAGAAAACCAAATACCTTGGGCGGTGCTACAACGGTTGTTTGACATGACTGTGGCACCTGGAGGCCAACCCCTTGCTGATCTTGCCCTTAATTTCTTTCGCGCCTTGTTTTTATACGAGAGATCACACCAACAAGTTTCACCTCCCCTGGGACAAAAACATTTATTGGACCTCTTAAGAAACTGGTTAATTGACAACTCTACGGCAGAGACAGAAGGCATAGCAGAATGGCAATTCATGCCTTCCGCCACGTATCTTGCAGATGCCGGCATCAAATTCAGGAAGAATACCAAATCAGCAAGCATCATGGATATAAAATTTAAAAATGGTATCCTGGAAATCCCTCGATTGTTAATTCATGAGACAACTGAGGCTATAATTCGAAACCTCATTAGCTATGAGCAATGTCGTCCTGGTTGCAGTCCTACAATCACTTCATATGCAGTATTCCTAGATAGCCTCATCAACACTTCCGAGGACTTGGATACGCTGATCAAGAGTGGAATTATCGAGACTTGGTTGAATCCAGGTGAGGCCACTCGGTTTTTCAATCAGCTTTATCATGATTCTTATTTGACCGAGTACCACTACGCGAACGAGTGTAAAGAAGTGAATAAGTATTGCCGGCAAAGTTGGCCTAGATGGCGTGCCGTGCTTATGAGAAATTACTTCGGCACTCCATGGAAAATTGCTTCTCTTTTTGTTGCTGCAGCCTTTTTGATTCTCACCATTGTGCAGACCATATTCTCCATTATTAAGAAGTAAGATCTTATTTCCTCATTGCTTGTTACATATTATGATGAGAAATTAATTGGAGATGCTAGATAAATTCTCGGGCTGTATCGTGATTTCTTATCCTTCATGCATGGCTCAAAAAAGAACAGAATACTATAGAAAATCCATATCCGCAGCTATGGTTTCTCAATTTCGGTGTCTTAAAAAGCTAGAGTATAATTTTCTCTTCCCCTCCCCTATGTAACAGGTGATTCGAAGTGGAAGAAGTTTTTGGCCGGTCAATTTCAATTTTCAAGTACTTCTGATCAGAGTTTCCAACTGGAGCTGCTTGGTTAAGTTGAGTGAAGTGGTGTCCAGTTCTCGAGTCAAAACCGTGTGGCATTTGTTTGGTTTTTCCATTTCATGGCTTTTGTTTGAAACAGTTGGTGTTCGTTCTTTGATTTAGCTTTGTAGGCTTGTAGCTTGTTTTTGCTTCCTAGAAGCTTATCAGTCATGAATTGGGAATACTGTTAATAAAGCCTCCCTCTCCCCTCTCTCACTTTCATTTGGAAAAATAATTCTAGGATTATAATCTAAACTCCGGGTCCAAAACACAAAGATTTTTAATAAAATGGATGGGAATAAGGCTGAAGAATTCCATATCTCCTTCCCCAAGAAGAAAAATGATAATACAGTTCATGAATTCGCGAGACAGAAAAGGAGACGTAAAATACATACATCAAAAGAAGTGTGTTATTATTACTAACATGCATTTATCATATATTTTGGTGTAACATCACTCTACTTTAAAGGTTCACATACAGGATGTTCATTGAATAGTATTCCTCCATGCACCTCCTTGATTCCCCTCCTTCAAAGCTTCCAACACTTCCATTTACACCATTAAATAGGTTTTGATGTATCAGGGTGGGTTTCTGTTATTTTCAAGAGTATAAAAGAAAAGGCAGGAAAAACAACAAGCCGTATCTAGCAAATGGCTGCAAATCAACAAACTTCAGGAGCTAGAAAAAGACACTTTAAACTCACTACCCAGCAGACTTGGTGAGTTATATTTACTTCTACTAGCAGAGTAAACAAACACATCACCATTTAATATAATAGACCTCTTGGGCAGGAAAATATTAAATCCAAGCACCCAATGGCACTTTTCAGTTACAAAAGCATTATCACATATGAAAATTTACTCTGCAAAGAAGGTCTCCAAACTCAAATTCAAAGAGCTAAGTTCCATTTAACACCAAGGAACAAAAATAACATCAAATGATGCAAGGCACTATCCATTTGCACTGCTCAAAATCAGCTTGCGCATGACTAAATAACACAAAACATCCCATTGCTTACCAACTCCAAATCGATAATACTCGCACCAAACTTCCACAATCCATCCATTTGCATTGCAGAAAATCAGCTTGAGCATGACTAGAATAACGCAAAACATCTCATTATATAAGCATCTCCAAACCTAAAACATCCCCTACCATCGCACCAAAACTTCCATAATTTACCCATTTGCATCGCCGAAAATCAGCCTGAGCATTACTTATCAACTTCATGTCCCAATAATTACACCATGACTTTTGTAATCTCTCAAAACGAATCACAATAAAAAAACCAGAACTGTATTGCTTAAACCAAATGTCCATATCCAAACAATGTGGTTTCGCTACTATGTAACTCACACAAAACCCAACAAAAAACCAATCACATGCAGATTAGCTTATCAAGCTAACTCCAATTCTATTTAAACTAATAAATAGCCCTAAAGCAATTACCAAGGAAACCAAATTCATAAGCATTCAAGCAAAACAAAAACACTAGTAATAAATATCCATAGATAAAACCCATTATCTGATTAATCGAAACAGAAGCAAGAACTAAATAATCCACCGTTTGATTAAAAAAAATCAGACTAAAAAATAAGATACCATAATCGGAAACGAGAAAATCTACTTAGACCTCTGCCTCATCTTTCTACGCTTCCTCTTCAATCTCCTCATACGCTTCTTCTTCCACTGAAAAAAAAAAAAAAAAAATTCTTTACGAAATTGCAACTGAAAAAAATCAGAGTAATCAAGTGCAAAACATTTTAGATTAGATTGAAGTGATTTTAAGGTTACCTTGGCTCTCATGGTGACGGCGGTGGAAACTCTGCTAGCTTTTTGAAGCCCTAGTTTGTTAAAGAGAGGAAACGAAAGAGAAGGAAAAATGGGTGTGGGTTTTGGGTATGGTTTGAAAATTAATTATAGCCGAACCCTAGGGTGGACCGAGATGGCGCCGTCTGGTTCAAATTTAAGACCCAAAGGGCCCAATTCAAACTCCTTTTATTTCTCATACCGTCATATGCGTATACGATGATTCCTTTCAAGGCCTTTATCATTGCTTGCGCTAACATTTTATTTTAGTTCCAACTCACAATCTCTTCAATCAATTCTTTGAAGGGCCCACCATAAGATAACCGGACAGATTTGACCCATTTACCCTAACAAAAATCAAATATCGTTGATCTTTTTTTAAAAAAATTAATTTTTATTTTTTAAGATGAGATTTTGCACAGAAATTGGAGAAAAATCAATCAATTTTCTGGAAAAAAATCCTATAATTTTTCAAGAGTAGAAAATATGTGATTTTTATTTTCTAAACATTTTAATTAAAAAATAACTCGAAATCATCTCAAATTTAAACTACAACTATTTGGATTTTTTTTTCTTTTTTAAAGCTGAGGCTTGGCGCTCTTTTTTTTTTTTTTTTTTTAATCTAAAAATTCTCTTTCTTTATCCAAATTTTGCTTTAAAATACTCTGAAATTTCTATGCTTATAAATGAAGGGAAATTCTGTTCTATTGATGCTTATTTCTCAAATTTTGACTCTTCTCATTAGAATGGATGGCAAACGTTGGAAGGGATAGTGGCACAATAAACGCGGATACATCTGCTTCTTCTTTTGGAGAAGATGGTGACTTCTCAATTGGTGATGATTCATTGACCCCCTCCTTTCCAAAACTCCACCATGCACTGTAAAGATGATAAAACACTCAATTGAATAGTAAAAGGAATCTTCGAAGTCTAATTGAATAGCAAGATTTACTATAGTCGGAGCCATAACTCTTGTTTATTCAAATCATGGCTTTGATTATATGATATCTAGCTCCTCATTCAATTATAAATTAGCCTATCTCGTTTTGAAAAAATAAATTAATTAACTATTTTCGTTTTAAAAAAACTAATTATTTAGTTAATTATGCTTTAATTCCTTCCACAACTTAGTCTTTTCATTAGTTTTTTATTAGATTAGTGATTTGTTCTCAAATTACGTTTTATTTGATGTTTTATTTATTTACTTCATCCACTCTCTTTCTTTATCTTTAACCAAAAATTAAAAAAAGAACAATTTAGAAACAAAAATTATTAATATAACATAAAAGTGATGAAAATACTAAATTATTGATGAAATTAAAACAAAAGACATCAAATGCTTATTTTTTTTAAAAAAAATGTCTAGAGTAATTTATTTTTCTAAAGAGGGACTAATTTTTAATTTACTCGTAATACGATTGACATAAAATGTTAGACTATTTCTAAGAAGTAATATTGATATTTCAATTGAAAAAGAAGAACAACATTATCATCTTACAAGGTAAGAAAGTTAGTTGGAGCGCCATTAACAAGAAAAGGAGTGCCAATAGCAGCACCTTGAATAAAAGGGTTTAATTATATGAGGTGTAGCCGTTTATATTAAACTGTAAGAATAGTAAGGCAAAATGATTTTCTCCATATACTCTCCAGACTCTAATAGTCCAAGTCATGCGAAGTTGCGAACAACTCCAAAACTCTCATTCTCACTGCGTTAAAATGTCATTTACGCAAATAGTTCATGCACCCCATCTTCCAACTAATCTTTTGGTCATACTCTGTAGTCAGTCCATTCCGCAAGAGGTCCAAGCTACGATTTATTCAAACCAGATTAGGAAATCAAATTCAGTTATTGGATTGTTAATAAAAGCCAACCAAATCCAAGTCAATAGTTATAACTATGAATAATAAAATTTGAATGGTAGTTTTAATAAAATAAAACCAAAACAATCTTTTTTATTTTCAGACCATATCTTTGACGAATAGCACATCTTATTACAAAAGAGAAAACATGCTCGCAGAAATTGATTATTATTTGGGCCACGGTGGTATTGGGCCAGCAGACCAATGAGATTCAAGAGAGAAAATTCAGTTTTTCTTGGTCAGAAAAGGATGCGCAGGAAAATTCCACTGGCTCGAGTACCAACTTTCTATATTATTTCGTGATGTTTACTATTAAAATACCACTCTTCATATGGCTTTTCTTGATGCCTTTTGACAATGATCTGTGTCGATGTAGTTTTTGTTTATGGGCAATGCCCGAGTGATCAGCAATCTTCGGTATTTCAATGAAGGAGAATGTTGGTTATCTTCGTTTAGTACTATTTTTTATTTTTATTTTTTTTATCTGTCTGGCTGTCACTTACTTAGGCTCTGTTTATTCCCTTTTCACTCATGCTCAACGTTAGGAGGATGTGTTCTAGTTTCCCTTGTTTACTTGCATAACAAAGGAGTACCTTGTCAACAATTCAACTTCTTCTTGTTTTTTTTTCTTTCCTCGGACGCATTGATTATTTTTTATCTAATTGAAGTGCAAGATTTGCAGCTCTCAGAGCTACAGCTTTTGTAGCTGCTTTGATTCGAATCATGGCTTTGATTATGTGATGTCTAGCTCCTTATTGAATTGTAATACCCCGGTAGAGTAGAAGTATTCTCCAATTGACTCTCCATTAGTCCAAGTCATGCACATGCGTAGTCATGCTCTGTGATCCATACGGCACGAGGTCCCAGCTGCCGCGTGTTTAGAGTCTAAACCAAAGGAAATTAAGAACTTGGACTTGGTTTCACATGGAAAAACTCACAAAATTTTTAAAAGATTATAAGCATCTCATTTAAGGTAAAGGCATGTTTGATTAAGCATCTCATTAAGATCAAGGATATGCTTAATTAGGAAGAGCAAAAAAGACATTGCATGGCTAGTTTATTAATTACTTCCACAAATTAACTATGTAAACCAGTTTTATTCTTTCAATAAATGGATATGCAAAGAAAGTAAAAAACTCAAGTAAAAAAAGGCAGCGAAGTTATTTCACTAGGGCTACCAAACATGCATGGAGAGATTGAATTATTTGTGCGACAGTGGAGCTGAGATATTAAGAGAGAAAATCATGCGTTGAAAACTCTCAAGTTGAGCGAAAACCATTTCAAAATAGATTCGTTTCCCAGCAAGTACTTTTAAAGCAGGGTACCTTTCAAAATATAGCAGCTTCATTCAAGCAAACAATCCACCTAAAATGAAATTTCCACTCTTTACTTTGTTTTTCTTGGTGCTCCTTCTAACAATGCTCTTTAGCATTGACGTTGCTTTGGTTTCTGCAAAATGCCAGATTGATCAGCAATCATTGCTATTGCAATTAAAGAAAAGTCTCACGTTTGTTCAATCTCCATCTGAAGAACTGGCGAATTGGACTTCCAGCACGGATTGCTGTGATTGGGATGGTATAACTTGTGATGAGGGTGGTCTTGGTCGTGTTGTCGGCCTGGATTTGAGCAATAAATCAATCAGTGGTGGACTTGACAATTCAAGTGAGCTTTTCAATCTGCAATTTCTTCGGAGTCTAAATTTATCTTTCAACAACTTCAACACAACTCTGCCAGTCAGGTTTGCCAACCTCACAGATTTGGTTTCACTGAAGTTGTCCAATGCTGGCTTTGTAGGCCAAATTCCAATTGAGATTTCGAAGCTGACAAGGTTGGTTAGTCTTGATTTGTCTACCCTTTACTTCCCTGGAGTGATTTCACTGAAACTCGAGAAACCTAACCTTGCAACAGTGGTTCAAAATCTCACACAGCTAAGAGAGCTCCATCTTGATGGCGTAAATATATCAGCACATGGCAAAGACTGGTGCCATGCCTTATCCTCTTCATTGCCAAATCTAAAAGTGCTGAGCATGTCCAACTGCTTTCTTTCAGGACCTATTGATGCTTCCCTGGCAAAGCTTCAGTCCCTTTCAATAATTCGTTTGAGCGGTAATAATTTGTCTGCTCCAGTTCCAGAATTCTTTGCAAATTACTCGAAATTGATTGCCTTGCAGCTTAGCTTTTGCGATTTGAACGGAATATTTCCACAAACTATATTCCAGGTACCAACACTAGAGATTCTTGACTTATCATTAAACAAATTCCTTCAGGGTTCGCTTCCAGAGTTTCGTCAAAATCTCTCTCTTCAGACGCTGATGCTCAGTGACACAAGCTTTTCAGGGAGATTACCACAGTCCATTGGTAATCTTGGGAAATTATCCAGAATAGAGCTAGCGAATCACAATTTTGCTGGACCAATTCCAAATTCAATAGCAAATCTCACCCAGCTGTTTTACCTGGACTTGTCATCAAATATGTTCACTGGTCCAATCCCATCATTCCGCATGTCCAAGAACCTTACCCATGTAGACCTTTCTCACAATCAACTAACAAGTGAGATTCCATCCAGTCACTGGGAAGGCCTTCTGAATCTCGCCTTTGTTGATTTAGCGTATAATAAATTCAATGGGAGCATCCCTTGGTCACTGTTTGCAATCCCATCACTGCAGATGATGTTTCTTTCAAACAACCGATTTGGGGGTCAGGTCCCTGAGTTTCCAAACGTGTCTTCCTCTCTTTTGGATACCCTGGATTTGAGTAGCAACAAATTAGAAGGGCCTATTCCCAGTTCTGTCTTTGGTCTTGCAAAACTCAATGTCCTTAAACTTTCGTCCAATAAGCTCAATGGCACGATGCAATTACATTGGATTCAGAAACTTCCAGATCTCACTGTACTTGACCTCTCATACAACAACTTGACAGTGAATGCAGCTGGCAGCAATTCCACCGAGTCTTCCCTTGCCCAAATCAAAAAACTAAGATTGGCTTCTTGCAATCTGAGAATGTTTCCAGATCTCAATCACCAATCAAACCTATTCCATTTAGACCTTTCAGACAACCAAATTACTGGGCTGCTACCCGGTTGGATTTCAGCACTTGATTTTCTTCAATATCTAAATCTTTCATGCAATCTCCTGGTTGGTATAGAAAAACCTTTGTCTCTTCCTAGTCTTAGTATCTTAGACCTGCATTCTAACCAGCTTCAAGGGAGCATTCCAGTTCCTCCACGATTTATTACCTATGTGGATTACTCGAGCAATAATTTCACTTCCTCCATTCCCCATAACATTGGTAATTACCTCAACTTTACCTTCTTCTTTTCCCTTTCAAACAATAAACTTACAGGTGAGATACCGCAATCAATATGCACTGCCAGTTGGCTACAAGTTCTTGACTTGTCTAACAACAGCTTGAGTGGCATCATGTGGGACTGTTTGATTGAGAAGATTGAGACTCTTGGTGTTCTAAATTTAAGGCGGAATAACTTCAGTGGCAATATCCCTGATAAATTTCCAAGCACCTGTGGATTGAAGACTCTAGATCTGAGTGGAAATAGTTTACAAGGGCAGGTTCCAAAATCTTTGGCCAAATGCACCTCTTTAGAGGTTTTAGACCTTGGGAACAATCAAATCAATGACACATTCCCCTGTCTTCTTAAATCCATATCGAGTTTTCTTGTCCTTGTTCTACGACACAACAAGTTCCATGGGCATATTGGATGTCCACAAATCAATGGCACTTGGCCATATATTCAGATTGTCGACATAGCATCCAACAATTTTACGGGAAATCTACCTCAAATTAGCTTGAAAACCTGGGAAGGAATGATGAGAGATGGACACGGAACCCCTGGTCACATAAAATTTGAGCCCCTACGGATCACTGGTGGACTGTATTATCAGGATTCAATAACAGTCACCATCAAGGGTCTTGAGCTAGAGCTGGTGAAGATATTAACTATCTTTACGTCTGCTGACTTCTCAAACAACAACTTTGATGGGCCAATACCAGATGCCATAGGACAATTCCAAGCACTTTATCTTCTCAACTTGTCACACAATGCACTTACTGGCCAAATTCCATCATCTTTAGGCAAATTGTCGCAGTTGGAGTCCTTGGACCTCTCATTCAACCACCTAAATGGAGCAATTCCTCGGCAGCTTGCAAACCTAACCTTCCTTTCATTCCTAAACCTCTCAGAGAATCAGCTGGTTGGAAGGATCCCAACAGGTCCACAATTCCAGACGTTTTCACCAGATTCCTTCATAGATAATGAAGGATTATGTGGATTCCCTTTGAATGACAACTGCAGCCATGAGTCTCCACTTATAGTTCCCATCCCTTCAAATTCTGGTGTAGAGATCGAATGGAATTTAATAAGTGCAGAATTGGGATATGTCTTCGGGTTGGGAATTATTATTCTACCTCTTATGTTTTGCAAGAGATGGAGAATACGGTACTACAAACATGTTAATCATGTTCTTTTCAGAATCTTCCCGCAACTAGATAAAAGATGCGAGAATCGTGGCAGGAGAGCTCAAAGAAATAGAAGAAGGCAGTCACAGCGGTGAAGAAGATAAATGCGGTGAGAGCATTTGCAATTAATATTTCCTGTGGCTTAATTCTATTTGATCATATCCTGTTTAATGTTTTTTTTTTTTTTTAGACATTTGCAATTAAAAGTTAAGTTTAAACTCTGTTATTTATTCTCTTTGTTTATGGGTTGTAGGTCATGAATTATTAGTCGGATGGAGTTTGCAGTTATTGAAAATAAAGGACCAGCCATGGAAGGCTATCAAGGACATCAGGTGGCTGTCAGATGTGAAGAAATGTGATTTTTCTCTTTTATTTGCTTCTTTATTGTGACTGTAATAATGTGGATAGTATCTGAGACCAGAGGAACTGTGTGCTAATGTGGTTTAGCTGGGCTTCGATTAGATTTCTGTAGGCCCTTAGGGCATCAGATTTCTTGAAACACCTCAGCAGATAAGTGTCAGATTCAGCACCAATTTTTAATTATTACCTAGCTTTCAACTGTTCTAGGCCCAATTGAATTGCTCTGTTTTGGTTAAAGTGAATTTTACAGTTTTACTTGGCAAATGTCGATTGTGGTTGCTACATGTATTTTTGCAAATACTTAAAAAGGTGAATGGTTTTATGCTAACAAATATAAGGAAAGAAAGAATTCATTAATCGTCTATCTAACTATCTTAATTTAACTTGGTTCATTTTTGTCAACAAAAGAGAAGTCCTTGTTTGTGAAAGAGATTCAGGGTTACCTTGGCTCTCATGGTGATGGCGGTGGAGACTCTGCGACCTTTGAAGCCCTGCTCCGTGAAAGAGAGAGGAAACAAAAGAGAAGGGAAATTGGGTGTGGGATTGGGTACGGTTTGAAACATAATTATAGCGGAACCCTAGTGAGGGCCGAGATGGCACCTCATGGTTCAAATTTAAGACCCAAAAGGCCCAATTCAAACTCATATTTCTTCTCATACCGCCATTCGTATACGTATATGATCATTCCTTACAAGGCCTCTATTATTGCTTGTGCTAACATTTTAGTTTAGTTTCAACTCACAATCTCCATAAATTTTCTAATACACAACAACAGTTATTTTTTAGACCCACCTTAAAGAAGAAAGATAAAAAAAAAAACAGAGAAAGAAACAAGAGAGAGGAAAAAAAAAAAGAACGTAAAAATCTTTTTATCATTTTTGGTGAGTTCGGATATAATTTAATATGTCTATCTCTCTCTTCAAAGTGAGTCTATAGAATAACTATTATACATGTCATTAATTACTTCTTATATATTATAAAATTTTTCCACAATCTCTTCAATCCATTCTTTGAAGGGCCCACCATAAGATAACTGCATAGGTTTGATCCACGTAGTCTAATGAATAAAAGCATAATGGGACAAATTTCTCTAAAAATTTTAATTTATTTAAAAATTTGTTTCTGAATTTTTAATTTTATTTTTTTGATTTTTTAATTTAGTTTATTTTATAATTTTCAACTACCACTCATCTTATCTAAAAAATTTAATTCTTAATATTTTAAATTAAAGTTTTGCACACAAAAAAAATATATATATATATATATAATTTAGGGGATGTCAGACTCAAAATTAAAAGTTCAAAAATTGATTTTTAAATAGACTAAAGTTCAAAAAAGTTTGATCCCTGTAGTCTGATAAACTACTTAAATAACTTTAAAATTTTACCGTACACATACTTTGTTTGGTGTGTTTTTGCTTCAATGGTTGAGTTATGAAGTATTGTTTCAAGACGCGGGGGTATAAATATAACTTTGTAAGGTGTTATAAGAAATTCAAAGAGAGATTTTTTTTTAAAAGACTAAAAAAATTGGTCAGATACCTAATGGATGAAAAAAAAAAAAAAAACTATTTATCTTATCCGATTCCATCAAATACAAATAATGGTTATGTATCTTGATTTTCATTTTAATCATTTTCTCTTTACTCTTTGGCTTGCATCTACATTTTCCGATCTAATTAAGCTTTAAGCTTCATGCTTAACGCTTTCCGCTTTTTTCTTTTTTGGAACTACAACTATTTATAATTTGTGATTCTCCTTCTTTGTCCAAATTTTTGCCTCAACATATTGTGAAATTTCTATGCTTATAAATTAAGGGCAATTCTCTTCTATCATACTTACTTTTCAAATTCCAACTCTTGTCATTAGAATCAATGGCAAACGTTGGAGGGGGTAGTGGCACAATAAACGCTGATAAATCTGCCTCTTCTTTTGGAGAAGACGATGACGTTTCAATTTGTGATGATTCATTCACCCCCGCCTTCTCAAAACTCCACGATGCACTGTAAAGATGACAAAACACTCAATTGAATAGTAAAAGGAATCGTGAAAATCTAAAAGCGCAAGATTTACCACTTTCAAAGCTAGAATTTTTGTTGATTCAAATCACGGGTTTGATTATATGATGTCTAGCTCTTCATTAAATTGTAATACAGGGCAGAATAGAGATCTATAAATAGTTTTTGCAGTATTGTTTTTGGAGTTTAAGGGTTTCAGTCATACAACGAGTAAATTATAAACTAGTACTTCTTGCTTTTTGAAATTAATTAAGTAATTTTTTTCATTTTAAAAACCAATCGTTTAATCATTTACTTTTTAATTTCATAAGTAATTTAATTTTTTCATCAATTTTCTGTCATATTAGTGATTTATTCCCAAATTGTTCTTCATTTGATGTCTTTTTTTTTCTCCACTCTATTTCTTTTTCCTCAATCAAAAATAAAAAAAGAACAATTTTATAACAAAAATCACTAACCTAAAAGAAAAAATTTCTAAATTATTGACGAAATTAAAAGGTGAAAAATAAAATAATTAGTTTTCCAAAGGAAGAGGACTAATTAATTTTTTTTTCTAAAGAGGGACTAATTTATAATTTACTCGTCAAATAATTGACATCAAATATTAGATTATTTCTAAAAAGCAATATTTGTATTTCAACTGAAAAAGAAGAAAAACATTACCATCTCACAAGGTCAAAAAGTTAGTTGGAGCACCTTGAATAAAAGGGTTTAATTATATGAGGTCTAGCTGTTTATTAAACGGTAAGAATAGAACGGCAAATGATTTTCTCCTTAGACTCTCCAGACTCCAATAGTCCGTCCAAGTCATGCAAACCATTCCAAAACTCTCGATGTCACTGCGTTAAAATGTCATTTACACAAATAGTTCATGTGCCCCACTTCGAACGAATCTTTTGGCCTTACTCTGTAGTCAGTCCATTCAACAAGAGGTCCAAGCTGCAATTTATTCAAACCAGATTAGGAAATTAAACACTCGAACAATTAGTTTGATAATTAAATATATATATATATATATATATATTTTAGGAGGAATTAAGCATCTCATTCAGATCAAAGATGCTTAATTAAGCATCTCATGAGAATCAAGATTATGTTTAATTGGTGGGAATAACATAGATATTTGCTTTGTTGAAGTACCTAAATCAATTTACTCATTCACTTAACATAAATGCAAAATATGTAAAGTATTTTTTACAATCAAGAAGTAGTGAAGAGCTCTTTTGGAACTCAACAAAATTAGTAGTACACGTTTTTTTTTATTTTTAATATTTATAAAAAGTTGAGTGTTTTTTAATTAATTTTTGTATTAATCGATAACTAAATTTTTTTTTTTTTTAATAAACTAGCTTCAGAATTTAATTATTTTTTTATCGAGTGATTGGATTGTCAATAAAAGCCAACCAAATCCAAGTCCAGTATTACCAAACGATAGTTATAACTATGAATAATAAAAATTAAATAGTAGGTTTTATAAAACCTAAAGAACCTTTTTTATTATCAAGCCATATCTTTAACTAATATTACATCTTATTACAAAAGAGAAAACATGCTCGCTGAAATTGATTATTATTTGTGCCACGGTGGAATTGGACCAGCAAACCAATGAGATTCAAGAGAGAAAATTCAGTTTTTCTCGGTCCGAAAAGGATGCGCAGGAAAATTCCACCAGCTCGAGTACCAACTTTCTATATTATTTCGTGATGTTTACGATTAAAATACCACTCTTTACATGGCTTTTCTTGATGCCTTTTGACAATAATCTTTGTGTCGATGTAGTTTTTGTTTCTTTTTTGTTTCTGGGAAATGCTCGACTGATCAGCAAACTTCGTTATTTCAATGAAGGAGCATGTTGATTATCTTCGTTTAGTACTAATTTCTTTATCTGTCTGGCTGTCACTTATTTAGGCTCTGTTTATTCCCATTTCACTCATGCTCAACGTTAGGAGGATGTGTTCTGGTTTCCCTTGTTTACTTGCATAACAAAGTAGTACCTTGTCAACAATTCAACTTCTTGTGGTTTTTTTTTCCTCCTTTTCCTCGGCCACATTGCCAAATCTAAAAAATAAATAAAGCCTTGTTGTGCTTTGCCAAGGAATCATTGGAAATCTAATTGAAGTGCAAGATTTACAGCTCTCAGAGCTACAACTTCTGTAGCTGCATTGATTCGAATCATGGGTTTGATTATATGATTTCTAGCTCGTTATTGAATTGTAATACCCCGGTAGGGTAGAAGTATTCTCCAATTGACTCTCCATTAGTCCAAGTCATGCCAATATTGCTTTCTTGACATAATCTTTTGGTCTGTGCTTGGCAATCCATACGGCTCGAGGTCCAAGCTGCCGCGTGTTTAGAGTCTAAACCAAAGGAAATTAAGCACTTGGACTTAGTTTGACATTGAAAAACGCACAGAATTTTTAAAAGGACACAAGCATCTCATTAAGGTAAAGGCACGCATGATTAAGCCTCTCATTAAGAAAAACGTTATGCTTAATTGGTCAGAGCAAGTACTTTTAAAGCACGGTTACCTTACAAAAGTGGGCAGCTTCATTCATGCAAACAATCCACCTAATAATGAAATTTCCACTCTTTACTTTGTTTTTCTTTATGCCCCTTCTAACAATGTTGTTTAGCATTGACGTTGCTTTGGTTTCTGGAAAATGCCAGAGCGATCATCAATCTTTGTTACTCGAATTAAAGAATAGTCTCATATTCGATGAATCTATCTCTACTATACTGGTGACATGGAATTCCACCACGGATTGCTGTGAGTGGAGAGGTATAAGCTGCGATGTAGGTGGGCTTGGTCATGTTACTGGCCTTGACTTGAGCTGTGAATCAATCTCTGGTGGTCTAGACAATTCCAGTAACCTTTTCGACCTGCAATCTCTCCAGAGTCTGGATTTGTCTCTCAACGACTTCAACATAACTCTGCCAACCAGGTTCGCCAACCTCACAAATTTGGTTTCACTGAATTTGCATGCTGCTGGCTTTAAGGACCAAATTCCCTCTGAGATTTCAAAGCTGACAAAGTTGGTTAGTCTTCGTTTGTCTAGTGTCTACGATGTTCCCATGAAACTTGAAAAACCAAATCTAGCAACGCTGGTTCAAAATCTCACAGAGCTAACAGAACTCTATCTTGATGGGGTGAATATATCCGCAAGTGGGCGTGAATGGTGCGAGGCCTTATCGTCTTCGCTGCCTAATCTAAAAGTGCTGAGCCTGTCCAACTGCTTTCTTTCAGGCCCTATTGATGCTTCCCTTGCAAAGCTTCAGTCTCTTTCAATAATTGATTTGAGCGGGAATAATTTGTCTGCTCCAGTTCCAGAATTCTTTGCAAATTACTCGAAACTGATTGCCTTGCAACTTCCCAGTTGCGAGTTGAAAGGAATACTTCCACAAACAATATTCCAGGTACCAACACTAGAGATTATTGACTTGTCATCCAATATGCTCACTGGTTCAATCCCATCATTCAGCACGTCCAAGAAACTCACCTACGTAGATCTTTATCTCAATCAACTAACAGGTGAGGTTCCATCCAGTCACTGGGAAGGCCTTCTGAATCTCGCCTTTGTTGATTTAGGGCACAACGCATTGAGCGGGAGCATCCCCTTATCGTTGTTTGCAATCCCATCACTGCAGACGATGCAGCTTTCAAACAACCGATTTTGGGGTCAGGTTCCTGAGTTTCCAAACGTCTCTTCCTCTCTTTTGCATACCCTGGATTTGAGTAGCAACAAATTAGAAGGGCCTATTCCCAGTTCTGTCTTTGGTCTTGCAAAACTCAACGTCCTCAAACTTTCGTCCAATAAGCTCAATGGCACGATGCAATTACATTGGATTCATAGACTTCGTAATCTCACTTCACTGGACCTCTCATACAACAACTTGACAGTGAATGCAGCTGGTAGCAATTCCACCGCGTCTTCCCTTCCCCAAATCAGGGACCTAAGATTGGCTTCTTGCAATCTGAGAATGTTTCCAGATCTTAGTAATCAATCAAAACTATTCCATTTAGACCTTTCAGACAACCAAATTACTGGGCTGCTACCTGGTTGGATTTCAGCATTTAATATTCTTCAATATCTGAATCTTTCAAGCAATCTCCTGGTTGGTCTAGAAAAACCTTTGTCTCTTCCTAGTCTTCTCACCATAGACCTGCATTCTAACCAGCTTCAAGGGAGCATTCCAGTTCCTCCATCATTTATTGTCTTTGTGGATTACTCGAGCAATAACTTCACTTCCTCCATTCCCCATAACATTGGTAATTATCTTAACACAAGCTTCTTCTTTTCCCTTTCAAACAATAAACTTACAGGTGTGATACCACAATCGATATGCACTGCTAGTTGGCTACAAGTTCTTGACTTGTCTAACAACAATTTGAGTGGCATGATTCCAGCCTGTTTAATTGAGAGGATTGACACTCTCCATGTTCTGAATTTAAGGCGAAACAACTTCGATGGCAATATTCCTGATAAATTTCCAAGCACATGTGAATTGAAGACTCTGGATCTAAGTGGAAACAAATTACAAGGGCTGGTTCCAAAATCCCTAGCCAGTTGCACTATGTTAGAGGTTTTAGACCTTGGGAACAATCAAATCAGTGACATGTTCCCATGTCAACTGAAGAGCATATTGAGTTTCAGTGTTCTTATTCTGCGACACAACATGTTCTATGGGCGCATTGGATGTCCTCTAATCAATGGAACCTGGCCAATGCTTCAGATTGCGGACCTAGCTTCCAATAATTTTAGTGGAAATCTACCTCAAAATTTCTTGAAAACCTGGAAGGCGATGATGGGAGATGGAAAAGGAACTCGTGATCACATAAGATTTGAGCCCCTAAGGCTAACTGATGGAGTGGGCTATGAGGATTCAGTAACAGTCACCATCAAGGGTCTTGAGCTAGAGCTGGTGAAGATATTAACTATCTTTAAATCGGTTGACTTCTCGAACAACAACTTTGATGGGCCAATACCAGATGTCTTCGGACAATTCGATGTACTCTATAGTCTCAACTTGTCCAGTAATGCTCTCAGTGGCCAAATTCCATCATCTTTAGGCAACTTGAGGCAGCTGGAGTCCTTGGACCTCTCGGTTAACCACCTAACCGGAGCAATTCCTCAGCAGATTGCAAGCTTAACCTTCCTTTCATTCCTGAACCTCTCAAAGAATAAGCTGGTCGGAAGTATCCCAACAGGTTCACAATTCCAGACGTTTTTACCGGATTCCTTCATAGATAATGAAGGATTATGCGGATTCCCTTTGAATAACAACTGCAGCCATGAGTCTCCACCTATAGTTGCCATCCATTCAAATTCTGGTGTAGAGATCAAATGGAATTTAATAAGTGCAGAATTGGGATATGTCTTCGGGTTGGGAATTATTATTCTACCTCTCATGTTTTGCAAGAGATGGAGAATACGGTACTACAAACATGTTAATCATGTTCTTTTCAGAATCTTCCCGCAACTAGATAAAAGATGCGAGAATCATGGCAGGAGAGCTCAAGGAAATAGAAGAAGGCAGTCACAGAGGTGAAGAAGATCAATGCGGTGAGAGCATTTGCAATTAACATGTCCTGCGGCTTAATTCTATTTGATCATATCCTGTTTAGTGGGTTTTTTTCCCCCCATTTTTTAGACATTTGCAATTAAAAGTCAAGTTTAAACTGTGTTATTTATTCTCTTTATCTATGGGTTGTAGGTCATCAATTATTAGTCAGATGGAGTTTGAAAATAAAGAACGAGCCATGGAAGGCCATCAAGGACATCAGGTGGCTGTCAGATGTGAAGAAATATGATTTTTCTCTTTGATTTGCTTCTTTCTTGTGACTGTGTAATAATGTGGATAATATCTGAGACCAGAGGAACTGTGTGCTAATGTGGTTTAGCTGGGCTTCGATTAGATTTCTGTAGGCTGCCGGGGCATCAGATTTCTGATAATACCTCAGCAGATAAGAGTCAGATTCAGCACCAATATTTTAATTATTACCTAGCTTTCTATATTTTAGGCCTAATTGAATTGCTTTATTTTGGTTAAAGTGAAATTTACAGTTTTACTTGGTAAATGTCGATTGTGGTTGCTACATGTATTTTTGTCAAACACTTTAAAAAAGAAGGTGTATAGTTTTATGCTAGCAAAAAAAAAAAAAAAAAAAAAACCATTAATCATCTACCTTAATTTAAGTCGGTTCATTTTTTCCAACACCCCTATAGAAAATATATTTCAAAAACACGACACCATTACTTTAATTACAAGTAAACATGATCAACCAAAACACAACACTAAGATTTAAGATATATAGAAAATCCACAAAAACAAACCTTTATCTATAATTTATGTTCTCGTTCTCTTCGTTTTTGGACAATTCTAGGAAACCCTTTGGAAATTGGGAGTGGATTTGGAATCATAAAAGTGAATCTTTCAAGACTAGTATATTTATATGTATGTATATGTGAATCCGTACCTCTTTTTTTTAATGATAGATAGACATAAAGCTAGAAATAATTAAGACAACTTGTTGTTTTGTATTTGAATTTATGGTGCAAAATTTCTTTAAAGCTATCTCTAATATACATTTATATATTTGTTATGCATTTACTATTCTATAATTAAACTCAAGATATTCCGACCTAAGAAGTAATCATATGAAAATATTACTTTTCATAAAGAAATATATATAAACTATGATTGCAATTTAGAGAAATTAGTTATGATAAATATTGAAATTTGTGTGTATATGTGTCAATGCATGAACAACAAAAAATTAAAGAGCAAAATGCAATGCTATGAAATAAAAAAATATATAGAACATATGCATATTTTACCACAAGGTGAGGTCCAAATAAGATTTAAAAAAAAAAAAAAAAAAACTGAACTTTAGAAACCCTTAAAATATTATTGCAATACCACAATAAGTATAATAGAAATACTAAACCTGTTAAACGTAGCTCTGAGTTTTCCTCCTTAGCTTAATGATTTGGAGAAACTAGATGAATTTCTTATATCAAATGTATTTATTAGACATCACTCTCAAATGAGATATATTCTGATTCTGCATTAATAGATGACTGTGAAATATGCATGTTTACATAGCAATGAATGAAGAAAAGACAACTTAACGAGTATAATGCAATACTAGGAAATAAATAGATATAGGATTTTAGTTTTGAATTTGATGGTATTATAAGGTGACGTAAGGTTTCAATTATAATAGAAAACTCTTTTGGTAATTGATTAAAGATTTTATATCTTATTGCATTGACAAAGATTATGTTGAATTATGGTTTGTTAACCATTAAAGATAATTGTTTTTAAAATTGTACATCATTCTTCCTAATGACATACAACAGAGACCAAATGAAGCATAATGAGGAAGTCTTAAGTAAATATAAAGATCGGAATATGATTTTGTTCATGTCTTTATTAAGCCTTGCCACTTCGGTCGTTGCGGTCTTTTCTCCTGCAATAACAACAAACTTTGTGTAATACTCGATACTGTCAAAACTGAAATTTAATGTAATTAAAAGTATTAAAGACATATGAAATTTTTTTTGAGAGCATGGAATAATTCTACAAGTCCACCTAATTTTCCTATAAATAAGAGTGCTAAAAAATGAAAAATAAAACGAAATTAGAGAAATGCAAACTAAATTCTTGCAAACTTTCCTCTCAAAATTTACCCAAAATACTTCTAACCAAATTTTAGACACTCCAGATCAATAAATTAAACCCCAATTTCAAGTTGGAAGCTAGAAATTTCCAAGGAGAAATTTAGAGAAAATTATCCGAATTTAAGAGGGAAAAAAGGAAGGAAGAAATTTTCAAACAACTCAACTTTTCAAAGATAAATTAAAGCTTATTTGAGTAAGTTAACTTCACCTACACCATAAGAAGTATTTAATTGATGTTAATTTATAGTTTGGATGCTTTAATTTGTGATATTGAGCTCTAATTTTGAAAATTAAGGTTAGGATTCTTGATGATAAAAAATTAGGAGAAATGGAATTCAACTAGAAAGTTATGCAATTGGGATTGAAATAGGTCAATTGAGCTTAAAATTGAAGTTTAGAAATCAAAAATTTCAAAGGTTAAAAAGAGGCAAACTTTTGACCTAAATTAGTGATTAGGACTTTTTGATATTGTGATTTAATTGATATTATATAGCTTGATTATGGCTTAATTATGTGTAAATTAGTTTAAACACAAAAAACTCCATTTAATTTGAAGAAAATTCAATGAATTTCTTTGGGGTAACATTCGTCCTAAAACCCCAAATTTTAGGGTTTTGATTCTTTCACTTGATTCATGAATTGTTGGTTAATTGATAGTTGAATGAGTATAATTTGATGAGTAGAAGTGAAAAATTCTAAGAAAGTTGAAGAAATTTACCTAATTTAGCTTAGGCTCAATTTCGACCCATTAAGGCCTAATTAGGTTTTAAGCATGTAATTGTTTTATAAAAATATCAATTAAATTGATCTCCGATGCTAATGTACATTTGAATGACCTAGTATCGAAATTAGTGATGAATTGAGAAGAAAATAATTAGGTTAGGATAAGGTAAAATTTGACCCAAAATGAAACAAAATAGGGTTTAGGTTTAATTGGTTCTTAATACTTCAGTTGATCATTTTGGATTGAGGATAATGTGATGGAATGAGTTAGAATGAAAAATTACATTAAGATTTGAAATCTAGCCTAGAATACCTAAATTAGGGTTTAGGCCCAATCAAGCCCAATTTGAAAATTATACATGTAATTAAGTAAGTAATACCTAATTGAAACGAGTTCTTGCTAATAGGGTTTAATTGAGTAGAATTATGTGAGAAATGAGTCTTAAAATTAGAAGAAAATGGTTAAGTTAAATTAGGGCTCCATTCGGACTTAGGGCGGGAAATTTAGGTTTAAGGTTTGATTTGTGTAATTTAATATGTAATTGAGTTTTTAAATGCCATTTATTATGTTTGAAGTGTGTATGTTATATGTAATTTATAATGTTGATGGTTATGGAAATTGTGTTGTTTTATATTGTGTGATGTTCTTGATGTTTTAATGGGTTGCAATGATTTTATTAAGATAATGTTTTTGGTGCATTTATGTTGTTAAATTATGCAACGTCATGGCATAAATGCATCTCATTTATGGCATGCATTTCATGAAGTAATAATGGTTATGCATTTTCACTAAAATGCATATGTATGCCTAATTTTATGAAAGATGTTTTAAAGTTATGAAAATATGTTTTTATGGAATGATTTTTGAATAGTGATTGAAAATAATTTAAAGAATGTGATTTTCATAACTTTGAGGATTTTATGAGGAGGGCTTTATAGGTTTTTCATACTCGTCATGGTAAATGGTTCGGTGGTCGGACAAGTGCAAACGTGCACTTTTACAAGCTCGACATGGCGCATTTGCGGACAGTGTCCGGTCCACTAGATGTACTATGAAAACCTTGAAGCACTTGTGATGGAACATGTCCAAAGATAGAAAATGATTTTTAGAATGATCATGAAAAGTATTTATGACATGAAAATGATTTTATACGAGCATGCAAATGATTTATACATGCATAGCATGTATTAGTTAACTTATCGAGCTATCGCTCACTTATTTGCTTGTGGTGTAGCTAACACGGATAAAGATGGTATTTTTCACATTTGAACCGAGTATTGAAGGATTGATCCGACGGGTGTACGTTGGATGTGGTTGAAGGATGGATCTCATACATACCACAACGGTTATAGTACTTGGTATTCTAGTTTATTTTTTAGCAATGTCTATATTTTTCTATATGATAGTTAAAGCAATGAATAAGTAGATGGCCGATTAAAAAGAAATAAATGTAGATAGTTAATAAGTCATTTTTGTAGTAGTTGGCATTTAACTGATTTTGTATGTAAATAGTAGTTTGTATGCAAACCAAATATTATTGGTAAAATAATAGCATAATCATAGCTAGTGTAGTTTTCTTTAAGTCATTTATTTTCATGCTAGCATCATCCAATATCATAAGAAAATAAAACTAGTCGGACAATAATTAAAATAAATGGTCATTAATGAAAAATAAAAATAATTAATTACCAAATAATAGATTTTGACTAAATAATTTATATAAGAATTCAAGGAAATCGATCGCCACGGATCCACTTATTTCAATTCAAGAAATGTAAATAAAACAATAAAACCCAAAAAATTAATAGTGTATTTTGAACCAAAATGTGAGACCTAATTGTCATTATTAGACTTCTACAATGTGATTATACCTACCAAATAATAGATTACGACTAAATAATTTATATAAGTTAATAGAAAAAGAATTCGAGGAAATTGATCGTCACGGATCCACTTATTTCAATTCAAGAAATGTAAATAAAATAATAAAACTCAAAAAATTAATAGTGTATTTTGAACCAAAATGTGAGACCTAATTATCATTATTAGACTTCGCAGCGTGATTATACCTAGAAGTATTATAAATAAGTCATAGTACCTTGTTAGTTAGAATTCATTGCACTTCGAATATGGGTTAATAAGTGATAACATTCTTAACGTATTAGGTCCTAGGTTGAAAGTGTTACACTTTGGCCATAGGAGGTTGATGTTTATTATAGCTATAGTTTCTTCTTCAAGACTATTATTAGTGGAGTTGCTACGGGGGTGAGCAAACGGTTCGGTTAATCGAAAATTGAATAGAATCGAACCCAATTATGAAATTTGGTTCAATTTTAAATTTAAAATTGTACAATTTAAAACTGAACCAAAAAATTAAAATTATTTTGATTCGGTTCGATTTTT